GAGAGAAAAGAGACATAAACGAAGGCAATAAAAACAGCTATGAAGGCGTTAGTATCCAGTACAACCGTTATTGTCACATCTCTAGCGGGCACTTTGGTCCAATGTAAGTCATCTCGACCAGTATTTAATGGAACAACATGAAATTTTGGTCACAAGTTCTCCAGCAGATGAACAACAAGGGTATCATTTGGCATCATATCTGACAAAATACTTTATAATCTAATCACCAAACTTGGCTAAAGTCCCTGTACAGATGTGGATTAAAACCTCTACAACTCATCTCTGTGTGCCAAAGGCGCATATTCTGTTTATTTCCATAAAAATGACCCCTTCATGTCTTGAAATGACTTAGATGTAACTCCACACTGTTGCTTCCTCTAAAATATGAAGATCTATGAACCGTGGTCCTCTTTCTTTATCCACTAATACATGGGATGAGTTGTACAAAACAAAAACAGGAACCTAAACTATAACAAGTTTCTCTCTGGTGATTGATTAAACTCCTGAAAACTCATTTCTGTGTATCCAAGTTCAATATTTTGAAATGTTTTTGTTGTTGTTGTTGTTGTTATTGTTGTAATGGTAACAATCCTTTCTGATCTGAAAATAGTTTAGATGTGAGTGCACAGTTTAATCTCATAGAATCACCCACTGCTCTGCAAAATTGCTGCAGATTGAGCACACCAGCTCACCTACGACACTTTAAAACTACTCTACGCTACACAATGGCAAGTTGTAATACTGGAGTCATAAAAATCAAACATGTTAGAACCAGAAACCAGTTCTAAAGAGGAACACTGGTACACAAAGTCCCAACCTGCAAGTTTACAGCGTCGGTTCCTTTGATTTGAGGTCTGAATCCATGTTTTGTCAGTACAGTGGAAATGCTAAACCACGGTATTTACTGTGGACTTTAATGCAAACTTTTATCTAGACTAAACTGAAAATGGCGCTGAGACACGGTGTCCTGACTCTTTGCCGTCTGTCCGACGTCCACACCCAAACACTAAACCACTGGCTTAGAAGGTTTTTTCCATTAAAATGACTCCTTCATGCCTGAAAATGGCTTAAATCGAACTCTACAGTGTTGCTTCCTCTGGAACATGCAGATCCATAACAGTTCACTCATTCTTTCACTATTTTCTGCAGCTCAAGCACACCGGCTCACCTGCAAAACTGTAAAGCAAATCTACGCTCCACAAATTGTAATACAGGAGTTATTCAATCAAACAAATCAGAAACTGGTTCTGAAGAAGATTATTAATATAGAAAGTCTCCCCCTGCAAGTTCACATCATCGAGTCCTTCGGTTTGAAGTCTGAGCCCGCGGTTTTGTACGTGCAGTTTTAAGGTGGAAATGCTCAACGGTGCTATTTAAGGCTGTTGACTCTGATACAAACTCTTATCTAGACTAAACTGAGCTGAAAATGGTGCTGAGACACTGTGCCCTGACTCTTCGCCATCTGTCCGACGTGCACACACAAACACATAAACCACCGGCTTTTGTGTCGCAAACTCCCACAAGTGTAAATATCGCCCCGCGGGCCTTTAGTTAGCTGAACACCCACTAAATGAATTCCAGATGCTTGGAGCTTGAGAAACTGGGGCAACTCTGGTGAAATATTTCAGCCATTCGACACATGTGCTGCTGAAGTCAGAATCCAGTGTTTGGTGGCAGCAGCTGACTGTGCTGCTGACAGAAACACACACTGTACGAGTGTCAAAAATAGTCCAGCAGACATATGAATACTGTCAGGATGAAGCTTAAGATGCTACGATCAGCAGAAAGCAGCACATGAACTGCAAGGCTGGTCATCTGGAATACTGCATGAAAAACATTATTTTATTTTATTTATTTTACATGATTAATCCCCATTTAAGGAGTTTTTTTTTTTTTTATCTGACACTGCATGAAAAATAATACTGCATCAGAATCAATGTTGGTTCTGACTTATTTATGTATTCATTTTACTTATATTCATATTTACTGATATTATTATTACCATTATTATTATTATTGCCTTTGTCTTTTTGGTTTTACACTCTATTTTACTCCACTCTATATTGCGTTTGTAGTTGTCGTTTTTTTTTATTTTATCTGTTGCTGTTGTGTTTATTTATTTAGTAAATCTTTTTCCATGTTTGTTTAATGGTCTTCCTCAGTATATTCCTTTTTGCCCTGTCTGTAAAGCAGTTTTACACTCTGTTTTTAAAAGGTGCTTTATAAATAACGTTATTATTATTAACGACTGACACATCCCAGAGTGTGACAACCAAAAAACTTAATTTCCATTTATTATATGGAAAATACCAGTGACATTATGTAAACAAACTGGCATTTCAAGGTTTAAAATCCTGAAAATGAATGAATGAATATTTGATAGAAATGTAGATGTACAAAAAACAGTCATTGAAATTGAAATATAACATTTCTACGTAGCATTTTTATGGAATTGTTTTTGGTGTAGACATTTTTGTACTTAAGAATCTCTATGTAACTTGTTAAAATTGGCATCTAAGCGTTAATAAAGCTTAAAAAAAGCCAGTGTAATGTCAGATATAGAAAATTAGCTTGAGAGCACAGTTAATTATCATCAAACTTTCAGCAGCTATGCAGAATCAATGTGATGCAGAATCAATTCTCAATTAAAAGCGATTCTTGAGTCAATAAAAAGAGAGAGAAGCACTACATATCACCTCTTACCCCAGGGGACTGAGTGTGAACCACTGACTTTTGTCCTTTACCCAGTGAGTTGTACATTAAATGATACTTACAGCTGACCTAACTGGTCTTAATGAGGGCCATTGCCTGACTGATGCTGAGCCCAAACTGCAGGAATTCGTTCCTTCTGACAATAGAAGAAAAGACTCTGGTGTAGAATCTTGGTCCGAACCAACATTCGTCCCAGATTATTTGGTAATATGATGGTGAGGAGTTCAAAGACGCAGCTTTAAACTGCTCAGACTCATTGAAGTTGCCCAGATAATATCAAAACGTGCTGGATATTTAGGAGGATGGTTACAGTTATCACATGAGCACCAGAGCCGCAGATGCTGTTGCCAAGCAACATTAAACGTTCGCTACAGATATCAAAACTTAATAAAGTCTCACCTCCAGTTCATTCTGTAGAATAGACAAACCCTGCTGACTGCATCCTCATGACCATTTTCTCATTCAGACTCATTTAGTTTTCTGCTTTAGATTTTTGTTTTTTGTCACTGCGAAGGATGATTAGCGTCACAGCAAGTTGTTGTACCACAGTCTCTGTTACGACATGAAGTCACGGCAGGTGGCTCGCCGACTGCTCTTTCTGGCAAAATAAACCTGAATAATACTTTGTAGTGTGTGACGAGTGATTATTTTCAAATCTTGTGTGCAGGTCTGAGAGACGAACATCTGTACACTTCATACACATGATGCAAACCAATTTCACAACCTGATAGCATTTTAATATTCCTGTTTTGTGACCTTGGTTCAACAACAACAACAACAAGAACAGGGGCGTGCGAGAAATTGCACCATTTTCTACTTTTCTCACTGTATTTTAAAGGTCATTGGCCTCAATTATGAACTGTTTGAAAACACAAAGCCTCACAGTTCAGTGTAAACTACAGAAGATGCCAACACAATGTCAACAACAGCATTCAGCAGCTCCAGCTCAAGTTCTTACTTCTTTTGTCCTCTATAGCTGCACTGCAAACTGTTATTTTTTCTTTTTCAGTAAAAAGAAAAAAAAGAAAGGGGGTTAATGGTAAGGACTCGGGTTTGAAATATGTTACAGTCTTCTCCAAGTATGAATAATATGCAACAAAAACGATTTAGTGACCACCATCATCGGTTAAATGTTTTTTCAGAAAACAGACGTGTGTTCTGGAGGGAACGGGGCTCCGGCGGTTCAGTCGTTAACGTCGTGTCTCCAGCAGCGAGGAGCCGCGTCTCTGCTGTATCGTTAGCATTGCAGAGAAGATCATTATCCAAAGTGACGTACGGGTACAAGTCGTGTGAAACAAAACATCCATAGAAGTTATTCTCTGCTCTCCAGCAGAGCTGGTGGTGCTGCAGCCGTTCTCATTCATTAGTGATGGACTTTGGTGCTCTATAGGATAATCTGTTGCTGATGGGGCACAACGGATTTGCAGAAAATATTTTTTCCTGCAAACCTAAAAATAAGGCCTACCACTTACCTTTATTTGAAGAAAAGATGCACACTACACTGTCCAGGTGCTGTGCCAGTAATAGTCTTTGTATGTGCAAATCTGTATCAGGTACATTCCTACTGTTATTAAACACGATCGCCGTACACTAGGGACTCAACTGTGCCATAATGCTGCACCAATTCTATGCTTATTATTAATTATTAATATCGTGAATATCATTATTATATTGTAGTTAGACTTTTTAATACTCTTTGTTATTTTGGTATTAGACACCTTGAATTTTCCTCAAGGGGATGAATAACGTATCCATCCATCCTCTGTTCATTCTTCATCCATCCATCCATCCATCCAGTCATTCATTCATTCATTCATTCATTCATCCATCCATCCATCATTTATCCATCCATCCGTCCTTCATTATTGATTCATCCATCCATCCATCTATCCATCCATCCATCCATCCGTCCGTCCTTCATCATTCATTCATCCATCCATCCATCATTTATCATCCATTCGTCCTTCATCATTCATCCATCCATCCATCCGTCCGCCCGTCCATCATTTATCCATCCATCCGTCCTTCATCATTCATTCATCCATCCATCTATCCACCCACCCATCCATCCAACAGTGAAATATAAACTTCCTCAGGTATTTTCCGTTGTGTGTATGTGCAGGACAGTCATGACACTGTGAGATGACAGTGTTGTGCCTCAGTATGAAGTCTGCCATCATGTTCTCACATCATTTTCTATTCCATATATGTACTGTGCATAATTTTACATGCGTGAAACCTTGAACTTAAACACGGGGGAGCAGTCATACAGAACATGTGGCACTCACTCTAGGAAGCGGGTGATATACTGGCGACTGCAGCGCGACCACCTGGGCAGGGAGGTGCCGTACAGGAGCTGTGGAGACATGACGAAAGGTCGTTTCCCAATGGGTTCACAGTCATTACCGTTGCCATCATGCTGAATCCCAAAGCTGCGACATAAAAGCACATCCCACAGAAGAGGGCAATTAAAGCGAGTGGGCACAGCACGTAACATGTACATCAAGCTGGAGCTACAGTGTGCAACAAGACTGATTATTTATTATCTAACTGAAAATTTGCATGTGAAAGGATCTGGGGATGAAGAAAACATTATGCAAAGTAATCTCTCAAAAAACATCAAAGTTGAAATTGAAGCTTAATGCAAAACTGGAATTGCTGCCTCGTGGTTACGCGCAGTTTACATCCATGGGTCTCCAGTTTCGTGTTATATATGTAATGAAGGCTTTGAAGGAATTGAGTAGGCGGGAACACGAGATTAGTAAATTATGTAAAATATGATCACAATCTCCCATTCGGTTCCTGAGTCACGACAGAAAAGTGTTTCTGCAGGACGTCATGAAGTGAAGTTGACTTTTGGGTGTAAAATCACATCACTTCACTCATATTTGTGCTAAATTTTGTCATAGTCAGCATTTAAATTCATGAATTAAACCCACAAGTTTGATGTTTTGTGAGGAAACAGTGACATTTGAACTGCAAAATCTAATCAGCTCATCCTTTCTACGGAGGCATCCAAGAGATCACAGGAATAGAAAGAACGTATGAACAAAATAAAACCTGAAAGCATTCCTGTTATGGCTGTCGCAGGTGCAGACAAATAATTAGGTACATTATAGATTCCATTTGAACTCCACAGTGAGTTTTTTTTTTTAATGCTTCTGAGGGTCAACGTTTAATTGGAAAGCAGCTCAACATTGTGCTTGTTTTCAGAGCATTTGACATTTGAAAAAGGAACAGATTCAGGCCTCTCAAAACATTTTTAATCACGAGTATTCACAGTATGCTGAAAGAAAAACTGAACAAAAATAATATTTTGTTGAGTCGAAGGCTGTTTCTCAGAGTAGATAAACACAACTTTGCTTTATCAGCTAGCATTTGCCTGCTATTTTTTAACAAATACTTCACAACACCAGTTTTAATATATAAAGAAAAAGAGGCAGCAAAGAAAAATAAAATCACTTTCACCACGTTTGTTCTCTTTACTGAATCAAAAAAGACCCTAGCAGAAGGTGAAGCAAGAATCTAAACAGGGTTGAATCATGAGAAAAATCTGCTCTAGAAAATGTATGTGCCTATTTTTCCTTTTAGAGAAAACTACATGGACCAGTGCACCTTCCAATGCTGAGAACAACCTCATCTGTCAATCCACCGGAGCTTCAGGGAACTAATTTTCTCCTTCTAGGAAGAGCCGACTGGTGTTCACAATGAGCTCCTGTCAATTTAAGACTTGTTCATGAATTCAATAAAATCACATATGCAGGATTAGCTGCCAAGTATGAACTCACACAATAGGGAGTAGGTTCTTTTCGGCACATTATCGAGAATCGGGGTGAAGGTGACTTGTGGCATAATGCTTTAACCCTTTAAACACTAAGGAACTTTGGCTTGAAACACGACGGCAGTGAAACGCGTTGGTGCTTGTTGTGAAATATTTTCCCTGAAAAGTCACCATATACTGGAGCCACTACACCGGTCTGCAGGGTGGACGGGGTCAAAGCCGCAGACCGGTATAGTGGCCTATAGTGTTGAAAGGGTTAAAGGCACTAGAGGCTCACATTGATGGACAGTACATGTGATGTTTGAAAAGAATGCAAAAATTACAGCACAAATGCACTCAGCTGCATTCAGGGGTTCAGCATAAAGTAATATTTGTCTTTCTATGTGTTATAATCCATAATGGCAACATGGTTATATGCAGCCAACACACAGAAAACATTAAGCTAGATAAGCAGAAAGACAAATGTTCTCAGCTAACTGTTTGCTATGTAATATAACATTATTGGTTCTTTTAACCGGGCTTCAAGGTGGTTCGGTGGTTAGCACCGTTGCCTCGCAGCAAGAAAGTCGCCGGTTCGCATCCGGGATCTTTCTGCGTGGAGTTTGTATGTTCTCCCCGTGCAGCGTGGGTTCTCTACAGGTTCTGCGGCTTCCTCCCACACAGTCCAAAAACATGTTGAGGTTAATTGGTGATTCTAAATTGTCTGTAGGTGTGAATGTGAATGAATGTGTCCTTCACCCTAAGTCAGCTGGGATAGACTCCAGCCCCACACGACCCTAGAGAGGATTAAGCGGTGTATAGATAATGGATGGATGGTTCTTTGAACCCATTAAAGCTGGTTCCTTTATGTGCTTTTTGAATCAAACGGACAAAACAACAAAATAACTGAATCCTCAGATCGGTGTAAAGCATAAAGTATAATTTGCTAGCGGGACAGTCTTTGTGTTGAAACCATGTTGTGGGATTACCTTTGGAATGTGGCTTTTGTTTGATGCTCGGTTTGTGTTCCTTTCTGTGGAGGCTTATGGGCTTTTCGTTTGTTTAAATGCTCTTTATTTGCTTTAATTACACAGCTTGTTGTGAAGTCATTTGAGGAAAAAATCCATTAAATGGTGTTAATAGAGGCTGAAAGAAGCTGCTGAGGTAATAATGTCCAATGAGTGGAACAAAGCATCAATGGGAACTGGATTCAATGGAGGAGGAGCACAGCTTGTATTTATGGAGCTAAAAATATCCCGTCATTATCATCATTATCGGGGATATCGAGACAACAAAATTACAATTACTAAGGTTCCTGCAGTGCTGCATTCGTAGTTTTTTCATGAATTCTTAGACGGGTGAAAAATTAAAGGAAAAATCTGAACCATTGGACCCTTAAATTGAGGAGATCTGGCAGCTGGGGGGCATTTTTCTGGCATGGTTTGGGTTTATTTGTCCCTGTAGAGACAAGAGTCACTGCAAATCAATACAAAGTTGTTCTCAGTGATCAACTTCATACTACAGTGAAACATCCAATCTATAGGACACGAGGGGTCACTGAATGGGTTAATTAAGTTGTTATACATTGGTTTTTTTTTAAAGGTTCCATATTGTGTCCTTTTTTTAACAACTTAATCTAGATCTCTCATGTGCCACGGATGCGTAGTTCAAGTTTCAGTCCCAAATACTATTATGCCTACAATGCACATGGTTCTAAATGTGCTCTTTCATTGTCTGTTACTTTAAATCCAACTGAGCTTTCAGGAACAGAGCTGCAGGGACACGTCTCTGTGCATCTCCTCAGTTCAGTGGCTGCGTTTGGACTCAAATCATTTTTACTGTAGGTATGTGCTACAGCTGCCCACATAATGGACGGACTGTTTCATGCAGTACGTATTCTACACTTTACTCCGTCACAGTAATGCACCTTAAACTTTGATGAAAAGTACCAAATGGGCTGTTGTCTGTTTGTGCATTCTCGGTAGTTCAAGCTTGTTAGCGATTATTTACAACACCACAACATATGCGACACAGCAGCGGTGCAAAGGGTTGGATAATGGCTTGCGTACTTCAAAATCCGACCGGATATTGTAGGATATGTGGGCTGCATTTGACATACTATGGATAGGAACAAATTAAATCTTTTTCTGGCGTGCTACATATAACGGAAATATGGAAACTGGTCACAACAGGAAACAAACCCGAAGCAGAGCCGCTTTCTGATCATTGGAGAACGTAATCATACGAGGGGATGTTCTTTTCTCATATCTTGTGGGTCTCTTGACACGTTATTGTGTTTAAAAACAATGAAAAAGCAGATTTTGCTTATCATGGTCCCCTTCACTTGTCACAAATTACATGAATCTTGAGCATGGTGGTTGAGAAACACAGAAATACACACATCTACTCATGTTCCATGTTAAATAAATAAAGGAAATGGACATTTTGTCTGGAGGGTTTTCTAACCGATGCTCTCTGGCAGCAACAACCAGTGAACTGATACGTTCTTTCCATTCACCGTAACAGCACCAAAACACACTAAAGTCTAAAAATAACGCTAATAAAATGAATGAAGCCTATATGCACAGAGTGCACTTTGCATCAGACCGATGAGGTTTCATGCAGTGAAGCCTTACTTGTGTCCCAGCTCGTGTGCCACAGTGAAGGCCAGTGGGAGGCCGGTGTCTTCACTAATGCTGCAACTGCGATGCGGCTGACACATCCCAGCCACATGGGACAAACCCAGAGTCTCACATGGCATGTTGATGGCTGCACAGATGTCCTTCCTGTGGAAAGTAAAGCCGTTGGTGAGAAATCAGGCATGAGAGAGGGGACAGCATTAAAAAAAAATAAATTTAAAAACCACATTCTGCCAACTGGGTACACTCAATTATTCAATGATTACACCACTGAATTTTATGTGTGCATCAATTCCCGCTCCGATCTTAATGAAAAACTAAATACATCCACAGATAACAGCTGTGGACGAGCCTGCTGAACGCCCACGGATACGATGAGATTCTGGGATACAACCAGGAGTGTGTTTTTACGCTTTTCTGCATCTAAGTGCAGCTGCAGTGTCATCTGTAGACACAGACGGAGCTCTGAAGCTGCTGCTGTTCACTCCACAGCTCCTCTGTTGACACGACTTCAGAGCCGAGCGGAGACCCGAGGTGATAAAGCATCGACCAGGGAGCGAGGAGGACATGTGGGGTGATGTGAGCATGAAAAGAGGGAATGATGACAACAGAAAGCTGAAGAGACAGATGAAAGATACGCCTCAAAAGGAGGAGAATGAGGGAGGCGATGGCAATAAAGGCTACATATCGCATGTTTGTACTGAATCTTTTAACAGACAGCTAGTTCCACATTTTACCCTGCTGCCACCTTTAAGCCAAAAAGCCAACATCGACCACTTTCCTTGCCTCTAAGCCTTTTTTTTTTTAAGCCCTAGAGTCCCTCCCTTTGACGTGGCTTTCTGTTGCTCTTCTCTTGATCTTCCATCGCACACATTTCTACCTTCTTATCTTTCACAGTTTGATGTTTGCTTCCATGTTGACGTCTTCCACTTCACCTTCTATTCCATATGGATGACTGGCTGTGATTCTGAGCTCACAGCGGTTGTTCTCAACGCCGTGTGTCCAATATTTATCTATCACTGCTGCTTCAATTGTAAAACACAAGCAGGTGACTGATTGCATAAACTGGACTCTGTATGTACACATTGCTGTATAACATCATAAATACATGACTACTGACTGGAAAAAACACTCGGATGTGGGAGATTTTTCTTTTTTCTGTCATGATCTTTGTTGTTTTTTGTAAGTTATTTCGTGTTTTAAAGGATCCCTTTCCTCGTGTGTCCCAGGTACTTCTACTTGTTCCCTTTTTGCTCGTCTACCGGGACCTGATTGATTTCACCTTCATCCTGTCTCATCAATCAGCTCCTCTGTGCATATGTGGTCTCATCTCCTAGTTTGTCTGTTTACCTGCCTGATTTCTCCCCGCGGTCCTGGAACTCTTAGAGCTTTTATTTTTTTAGTGCTTTTGTTTTACTTTGTTTCTTGCTTCAGTTTGTCTACCACGCTTTTCTTGCTTTTTTCTGGATTTTTTGGTGAACCTTTTCAACTTTAGCTATCTTTGTAATGGCTTAGTTAGTGAAGTTTTTGTTTTTGGAAACCTGCCTCGTGTTTCTGCATTTGGGTCTTCTTCCGACATCCCACACATCAAACACATCTCTCAGTTTTGTACATTAAAAAAGAAGCAATACCGATGAACTTAGTGCATAATAAAGACTAAAGGCATCTTCAAAATACTAATGATGGGCTCAGATTAAGGAAAGTTTTCTCCGATTTACCCCCAGTTCACCCATTTGGACAATCTGTTCTGAGATCTTGGTCTGACCTGATGTTAGGACCAGATTTCTTGGTAATATGAGGAGTTTTACAGATCCAGTCTTCGACCTCCTGAACTCCTTGCAGACCTATCAGGGCCTAGTTTAATATGTTTGCGTTAAGGAGCAGCAGAAACAGCTGCAAAGCAATGTCCAACATTCCAAACCCTTGAGGCTAACGCTGGCTAGCCGACTTATCTGACCTTTGACTTTAGTTTTTTCTCACTATATTATCAAAGCAAGTTGTTGCACCACAGTCTCCATTTTGTTTTCATCTGCATCCTCTGCCGCCCACAATAATCCTAACAACAACACATAGTGTGTCATGCACCATTATTTTCCATTCTTGCAGTGTCTGAAATTGGACAAAAGAAATTCTGTGAAGTTTCTTCTTAATTGTGTGACACAATCTGATGAGACAGATTTTGAAACTTCTGCCGTATGAGTCCAGAAAAAGTTACAGCTGCTTGTAAAACTACTGGTCTTGCACATAAACGTCTGTAAACTGTCTCCAGTTTTGGCACTAAGCAACCAGGATGTAGCTTGTTAATTAGGCAGACTTTTTGTTCTTTGTGCACAGAACCAGCACAGCTGTTTCCAGGCTTTATATAAAAGCAATGCTAACCGGCAACTCGCTTCAGCTCCTTATCTCATGTACACACATGAAAGGTGTCAATCTTCTCATTTAACTGGAGAAAGCAAAATGTCAAAGTCTTTCTTTAGCAGCATTAAAGGGAAAGGGTAAGTGAACAGTGGTGGCAGAGCCGACGTCCTTTATCATTCATTAATAAAAGGCTTTTTCAAAATTTAAAAGGAGCATTGGTGGGTTTTGGCAGAGAGAATAAGTGCTGAACTTCTTTTCCTCCTCTTATCTGTAAGCAAAACACCACAGGCGGACACCTTTTCACCCAAAGTTATTATTTCGATTTGGAAATTTACTGTCTATCATCTTCTCAGGTCTTTTTTTTATACTTTATAATGTCTTTTATACTTGCTTGCCTTGCTTGCAGTTGGGCGCCACGTTTTAGAGACTCCGTGTTTTTGTATCAAACCTTGTAGCTGCAGCTGCATGCTTATATTCTGAGAAAGAAATTTGGGGTCAATGAGGGCCATTGTTCATTATACACGTCGAGAAATTAGCTTTTCTTTTTTAATCAGTCTTTCAGTTTAAGCAGCAGCCACGGAGCAGGTGTGTGTAAAATCTGTATTTCCACGGTAATGTGACTGTCGTAGGATAGTCAGTCTTCACAGAGATGTGGGCGACTACTATCAAGCACAGCGACATAATAGGAGCAGAAGGAACTTTTTTTTTCTGCTCTGCTCTTTTGTGTTCGCTGCTACAGCCAACGGAAGGTTTTTTTTCCCTTTTGAGGTGATGTGAATATTAATGATCCCATATTCACAGCATCAAAGCGACTCACACTAATGCAAGCATCTCTCTTATTAATGTTTCTGTACGTAAGGTGAGGCCTGTCCTCACTGCTTCATGCACTCTTAGAATCAAGACAGCTTTTCTGTTCCTTCTTGACTAGCAGAAATATTAATAACACAAAGAATGTATATTTCATGATATGAGCGTTTTTTCTTTAATCTTTAAAATGTATTGGAAGTAGATACTGGAGCTGTAGCATCTCATTTTCAAGTGGGCCCTTTGACACAAGTACAGGGACACGGACGACTCGATCACCCTCAGACCTCAGCTACTGCGAAGGAAAAACTAGAAACAAAAACGAAGTAAAACACAAAAAGAGCAACTGAAGCTGGTTTGATTTACAATTACTTGTAGCGCAACTAAATAATACATAATATAGTAATGATATGATGAATATTGATGGCACAGGCAAATGAAAAACATAAACATGCTGCTTTAAGATGAGAAAATAAAGATGGCCTGAAGCAGCAAAAGCTCAAAGAGATCTAAGAAACAGAGGAAGATTATTCTAGTTGGAAGGAGTTTTGTATTGGAATGATCTGACTTGTTTGAAAACTCTAGTGAAGAAGAAAAAGTGTTTTTGCACGAATGGAAATGAGGATCGACATGGGACTAGAAACACTTTTAAAAAAAGAAGGATAGCAAAAATAAACACCCGGACCGGTGAAATTGTCGGCTAGTTTTAAGCAGCCAGCAAAGGTGAGATTTTTAAAAAAGTAGAAGAAGAAAAGATCTACATTTAAAACAATTTAATACAAGATTAAAGCCTAAAATAAGTGTCAGAGGTCTTACGATGGACAGTAACCAAGAATAGATGGCATCAGCTGAGAAAAGTTTCTGAATTGGAATTTGTAATGACTGTATTCAGTAGTCATTACTATTGTGTGTATTTTCATTATCATGCTGTGCTGGCTTGCGTCAAACCCTTTCCGGTTTGTGTTTGTGCAGTTCTTCATCGTGCGGCCGTGGATTTGTGGGGTTTGTGACTTCATCACTTGGGAGTCCAGTTTTTCATAAATATGTTCAATTCTAGCAATAACAGGAGATATGAACGGAGCCCTGTGAGGTTCAGAGGGATGTTTTTATTGGCAGGTGATGGAAAAGGTTGTTCAATATAGCATGAAAGATATTTATGATTAAACAGGCCCTGGATAAGGAACCTGTGTGACGTAAATATAGACTTAAAGATATTTTTTTCCAAGGATAGGGAGGATTGATATTGCCTTTTAAAGGACAAATGATTCATGCAGTCAAACAGGCAACATTGGAAACGATCACTGAACTGAAAGAGAAGTTTTACAATCTGGTGTTTGGTAGAAAAAGTATAAAATTGTCCAGTTAGTGATCTGAGAGAAATAAAAACCTAACATCAGCTGTTTCTTGTCTTTTTTTTTACTGCTCTTTATACGAGAAAATTTTTGTTTTTGTTTATTATAATAAACAAAAACAAAAATTTTCTTTTTTTATCATTTGTAGTATACTACAAATGATAAAAGTAAGTGGCTCAATATTATACTCAGATCTATTATATTTGAATGACTTGGTTGTTTGAAACCTCTCAACCCCATGGAGCCAACCGGCAGGTTTTAGAGGCATGTTATCTTCAAAACTATTTTTCACAGCAAGAAACTGTAAAAACTAGTCCGATGGTCCTTGAACTGTTCACATGTGAAGTGCTATTCGTTGTTAAACTTCCCTAATCCAAGCCTAAAATCATGATATTTCATCAAAATCACTTTATTTTTACTGTCTCATTTAAAAATGTGGGAAAAACAAACCATTTGCCCTAATCACATCCTGTTAAAAAAAAACAATCATCTGCTTCTTGACGCAACTGTGAAGTCATTAGTGACTCAGCTGCAACCAACGGCCACGTCAGAAAAGTCCTTTTTGGTTTTTCGACTGAGCTACAGTGAACTGCAAAGTGCAGAAACTAATTAAACACATAGGTGTGAATATATCTGTGAATATTTTTCTAATTTTGTACAATAAATAATCAAAGGAAATGCTTTTTTTTAAAAATGATTTATGGCTTTATAACTGTGTCACACTGCAGGGACGACACTTTGGAGCTCTCTCTTCTTCTTATCACGGTTGAGATGTTTCCACAAAGCTGCAGGACTTCATATTACAGTGAAAAACGAGCCCACAGTGAGTTCAGTGTAACAGGAGCAAAATGTGCTGCGGGTTGAGAGGGTTCAGAAAAAGGACACAATTCAAACTAGACGCTAATTTAGTGAAGGCATAGGAGTTCCGGAAGATACCCTGCATCTGTAAGTAGTGGACTGATTAGAATTTTCCCATATGAATAAAATTCACATTTACTATTATTACATGTAAGCCTCGGGGATCTGATCATCATTCTGTCAACTTCTGTTCCAGGCTGTGATATTTCAGTCCGATAATGAAACAGAAAAACAAGAAAATGAGAGAGTTTGTGATCGAGACGACGCAGTTTCGAATCTCCTCCCTGCAGCCAGCTCCATATGAAAATCCACTTGCAATTTATTCTTGCGAATACAAATTGCCTCCCCTGGGAGACGTGACTGAGAAAAGAAAGCCAGTTCTTATTTACCTGGTGAGCAGCACAGCCACGTCATGGTGCAGCGGGTGCTCGTCTCCCTTCATGTTCAGCTTCTTCTGCCACTTACAGAAGCTGTTCAGGCTGTTGTCAGCGTGGTGTGTAATTTTTAAGTCATCCTGTTTGCCACATGTCACAATTAGATGAAGGGAAGAGAACATACAGAAACAAACCAGCCATTTGTGGCTAATGCACTCTGAATGTACCAAAAGGACTGTTATCAGTGCACAGAGGAGAACACAGCTACAATTTGATGGGAAATGCTATAAAAAGGGCTTTAGGTTCTGGTAAAGTGCACCCTCACTGCTCACATGATTAGATGGAGCCTTTTAGCGAGCCTTAATAACAGTAAAAAAATTACAATTTTTTACTGTGTTGTACAGTTGGCGCTGACGTCTGCCATTTTAACATCACCCCTATTGGCAGGAAATTTCTGTAAATTTTGAAAGTTGATTAAAATAAACACACTTTTCCCAGCGTGGAAGCTTTTCAATTTGAACACACAATGATCGGAACAAGCAGCCGAGTACATTGGTGCGTTTTCTTTTCGCCTGATTTGTCACAGTTCAATCAACTTGCTTAATTGTTTCACTGGTACTAGCAATCATTGGGCTCCATTCACATGAACCTACATCCTATTATCTGCTGCTGCACAGGACAGCAGAGGAAACAGTCCAGTTTAGTTCATTGCTACCAACATCAGAAAAGCAGGAATTCTTGCAATAAGCTCTTTGCAAACAGGTTTCATTCATAAAACACCTGCAGGAGAGAAAAGTGACAGTCACAGCTAATCATCTGCAAAGTCAAGGTTTAACCAACACGTTTTAATTGACACAATAAATCCTAAAAGGTGTGCTTATTTGCTTAATTAACGTGTACCCACATCTCATTTGTTGCTTCAGAGGACAATAGAGGAAACGTATCAGTTCGTCAACAGCTGCCGACAACGCAAGAGCAGGAATTATTGCAGCAAGCTCTTTGCAAACAAGTTTCACTCACAAAATGACACAGATAATCTGGTCACATTCATTAATTCCATCTGTAAAGTAAATGTTTATCCAGCAACTTTTAACTGACACAATGAATCCTAAAAGGTGTGAGGTACAGATGATAATTAACACATCTGAGCAAACTCATTTACTAGGCTCTGCTTGGCATATTTTCCATACAGATAGTTCCACATAAAAAAAAAAAGAAAATGTTGAGATAAAACCTGTCAGTCTCTATAAATATATATTTGTAAATCTGCATTCCATAACTACATCAGATTAATGTTTAAATGTAGAAAAAAGTTAAAGCAATTCTTTAAAATTTGAGAAAATATGCTTGTGTAGAATTAGATAAGAAGATTTATCCCAGTTTCATGCCAGTAAAGGAAATATAGCGTTAACTTAGTTCAGCCTAAACACTGGAAACAGAACCTGAGTCTTTTCAAAGGTAACGTCCACCTGCTGGCTTCTCTAAATCCCTTTACCTAATTGGTTAAACACACACTCACCACTTCATTAGGCACACCTGATGAAATCAAACAGCTCTGCCATAACACCACATGTTTACATTTTGTTGACGTGGTCATAAAAATAATTATTCTATTTTGTGTTGAGTTTATGGTGGATGTGCATTGTGCTGACATTTAAAGGAGTGCCTGAAGTTTTGTCCACCACATTAACCACCACCACCCTCTATAATCTCATTAATAAACACAAAAAATCACCTTTTTGATCACGCTAGTAAAACTGTGGAGGCATCTTAACAGTAGAATTTGTTGCCGAGCTGTTTTATTGGATCGCATTAGACTTCACAGGTGGACTTAACAAAGCGGTCAGCGAGTGCAAACTGTTTGTTTAATCCGAGCACAACTCGACTGCAGAAACAACAAACTGCGGCGGGGTTTTGGAGTCTCCGGTGGTTGCCAGGCGACCTCGCAGGTCAAGAAATAATCTGACACACAATCCGTCTTTGCTGCACAACAAATGAGACGAGCTTTAGAGGCGCCAGTGACTGTTGTTGGCCGTTTCATCATGTTTCAGGTCTTTACGCTAAACTACGGTAACCAGCTGCTTGAGAAATGCTCGTATTTACCGCACAGACATGGTGAGCATTGAACTTCCGTACACAGCTAACTCTTGGCTAGAAGGGAAGAAAGCAAACTTGACCTTTTCTTATATATATTCTCGAGCAGCCTGATATGGATTATTTATCTAAGTGTAGGCACAAGAGGCTGGACTGACCCCTGCCCTGTTGACCTCAGTAGGCTGATATGATTCTCTAGTGCAAAACAGAGGAAGCTTAGCCATAACTATTCGGGGGCTCATGTGAGGACGCCTTTTGGACGGAACAACAGCACAGATGGAAAACTTGTGGAAGAAGATGAAGTTGTTTGTTGACTTACTGCACATTACTGCAGCAGAGGCAGTGAAGGACAGAAGTATTTCAGTTTACTGGCTTAGAATGAGGCTCTCTGGGTTGCATTTAAATGAATTTAAATTAATGACTACTCCTCTGAAATATTCATTTTAAGCTCAGCTGACATTATTACTGCAACGTTTTCCTTTAAAATCTCATAGAATTTCAAATAAACGTCATTTTACCTCGTCCTGCTCCAGTAGGATCAGTCGAACAACCACAATGTTGACAGCGTTTCCAATACTGGCATCTCTGTACAGCCCGGCCACCTGAAAGAAAAATCCATTCAACATAGTGCTCGCTAGAACAAAATGACACAATGATATATATATATAAGGCGAAACACGTAGCTGCTTTGGAACATATCAGAAAATGCATATCTTGGAGGAAAAAAAAAGAAGATAAAAAATATATTTTAAAAAAGACAGTCCATTAAAACTAGTATTTTTTCCGGAAAAACAACAGCCAGACTGCGAGGCCTCCATCTTCTTCTTTGTGTTTCTAGCGTCTGATTATTCTATTTTGAGGCTCCTCGTCTCCTCTGCCTATGAAATAAATCTCAGTGATCCTAAAAGGTTTCTTAATTCTAAAGAATTCTCGAGGACAGAAGAGTGAAGAGAAAAGAGGTCTGATGGAAGAGCTATGAGCGAGGATGCACAGGTGTAGCCTCGCTGTGAAAGTCTGGAACATACAAAGCATTTCCGGAGCCGGACAGACAGATGGTTTAAATACATACATGGCTACTTATTGTATCTTATCTTTTTACTTCACATTGACAAATGCTGGAATACTGAGCACTTTCTTTTGTTTGTTTTTGTCTCTTTGTCTCTCGTCTTTTTGTCAATGTGTATTTTGTTTAAAGACTGGCAAATGCTATTTGTTTTTTATGCAAAACAAATCTACCCACAGATTTTAATAAAGTAACCTTGACCGTGACTTTGATCTCTTTAGCTGTATAATTTTCCATTTGTGTGCTACAACCGTTTCATGCTATCATAGAATTATAAGTAAATATACAGTGCTTATTAAAGTATTCACCACCCTGTGACGTTTTCTCTTTTTATTGCTTTACCACATTGACTCAAGTCATTTTGTGGTTTTTTGTTTGTTTGTTTGTTTGTTTGTTTTTTAAAGAATTCACAAAAAAGACTCTTTTCCTGTCAAAGTGAAAACAGATTTCTACAAAGTGATTTTATAAGTATGTACCCCGTTCAAGTCAGTATTTAGTAGATGCACCTTTGGCAGCAATACCAGCACTGAGTCTGTGTATATAGGTCTCAATTAGCTGTGCACATCTGGACACTGCGACTGTACCTCATTTTTCTTTGCTAGGGTCAAGCTCTGTCAGGTTACACGGGATCATTAGTGAACAAATCTTTTTTAAGTCCAACCACAACTTCTCAACTGGATTCAGGTCTCGGCTCTGACTCGGCCACGTCGCCACCTTGTTGTCTTGAAACCATTTCTGTGCAGCTTTGTCCAGTTACTTTGGGTCATTGTCTTGCTGGAAAACAAATCTTCTCCCAGGTGACAGTTCCCTTTCAGACTGGATCAGGATTTCCTTATTTTTTGCTGCATTTGTTTCACCGTCCACGTTTACAAGCCTTCCAGGTCCTGCTGCTGTGAAGCATCCCCACATCATGATGCTGCCACCGCCATGCTTCAGAGGGGATGGTGAGTTTGCGATGATGTGCAGTGTTTGGCTTCCACCAAACATATGTCTAGTCTCATCAGACCAAAGAATCTTCTTCCAGTTGACCTCAGAGTCTCCCACATGCCTTCTGGGAAATTTAGTCAAGATTTTTTTCTTCCAGTTCTTTCTTCCAGTCACTCAGTTTTTGAAGAGGGCCTGCACACAGAACTCATATTCCTTCCATTTCTTTATTATGAATTAAACTGTACTCCAAGGGATGTTCAGTGACTTGGGGATTTTCTTGTATTCCACCCCTGACTATCATTTTAAATACCCTTTTTTCAGAGTTGCTTCAAATGTCATTTGGTCTTCATGGTGTAGCTAGAACCAGGAGTACTGATTCAGCAGAAACAGATACAGGTGTCTTTACACGACAATCATTTTACACACATTCTCTCGACTCACATGATCTTGATTTCACTAAATTTGTGACTTCTAGCAACTGTGTTGAATTAGGTGAGTCACTTCAAAGGGGGGGAATAATTATGAAATCAATCATTTTAGGTTTAAAATTGGAATTAATGGACATTACTTTTTAGAAATCTGTTTTCATTTTGACATGAAAGAGGCTTTTTTAAAAGTATAACTCTGGTTCAAAAAGCCAAATTGACTATGATTCGGTGATAAAAAGCAATAAAAGGGCAAAACATCTCAAGGTGGGTGAGTGCTTTTAATAGGCACTGAATATAAGCTGTAAGTTGTCATGAATGCAAGACTTATCTGGAAGAGATCATAAAAACCAAACAATGGACGGGTGATATAATTGTGCCACATGTCGTATTTCTCTCTCAGTTTCCCAGCTCCTGAGCTCTTCGTCTACTCTACAGTGTGGTAGATCACATTCTGTTACCACTTAGAATTGTGCGTTCTCAGCTTTTGCCACAGGATTATTTAGGGCCCACTTGCTTTCCTGCTTGTTTTCCCGCCTCCCGATCAGTTGTCCATCCACTCTCAAAGCCCTGCTCTGTCTCGCTTCATCTACTCTGCCTTTGCCTGCCAAACTCCTCACCTCCATCCACCTCCCTGCTGTAAGCTCTTTGAACAGCTTATCACAGCTACACCAACCACTTTAGCATTTGACTTAAGCTACTTGACCAGTGGACTCAAGGCCAGCTCAAACACTCAAGCACAACACTCGCAAATGCGGTCAAACAGTTACAATGAATGAAGCATATTGCTTTTCAGAAACAACTTGTCCTCGGTTTAGTATTTTAAACGCTTCCATTCATTCCATTCACACATCAAACGGCAAAAGTTATTCAGAGGATTATTGGGATGCAAACAACTTCAGAGGTCTGACATGATGCACTAACTTTTTTGAAGAATTCAACCTTTCAACATCAAAGCTTTTACAGCTCTTCAATCCAAATGTTCTTTCAAAGTATTAAAAGTCTAAGTGCCTCGGCCTTTAACAATGTATGATTACAGCCTGCATGGGAGGTTACAATCTGGTTATTCTGTAGCAGTATACCAAATATGCATCAATAAAACATCTTAACATTTCAATCCATTTACTCTGATCCCCACTGTCTTGACTTTCTAGTTTGCATTTGTGAAATTGTCACCCTGAGATAACTTCTGATTTCAAAATAGGACGGTTTGCTTGAATGGTTTTGTCATCGGGTTTTTTTTCTTACCCGAGGCATCAAACATAATGAAGAACAATGTAAACGGAGTGTAAAAACCAACAGCATTCAAATAAGTCAATAGCTTTCACAGCAGCTTGTTGTCTTGATCCGAGGCGCCGTGTGACAATTCAGAGAGGTGCTTTATGAAGAGCAGGAGGCGGGCGCTGATTATTAGAGAACGGGGAAAGATCGAGGTCAATTGATTTGAAAAATGCGACATGAGAAGCGTGAAACGAAGGTCGGAGGTGAAAGCAGCTCACGCCGCTGAGACACAAGCATCATTATCGACACAAGGCTCCGTAACAGAGCAACGCAAAACCTTTGCTGCTGCTCCGTTTTGTCATCAGGAAATACCTTGTGAGACCGACATCATGCTTGTTGTTGCAGTTATAAATACAAGTAGATATCAATTTACCAAAGTCAGAAACTCCAGAAGCCACAGATACCTTTTCTATGTTTCAAGTGAGTCAGACAGGTGTGTAACTTGGCAACAGGTCAAGATTTGCAGAAGTGACCAAGCATAAAGGGATTTAGCTCTTTTCTCCGTCTTTCTTTGTTTTCGTGACCCTTTCTGTGACTTTTCGTTCACACAACCAAGTGCAAATCCACAGACAGCTTTGAGAAGAGACTCTCCAAAAGCGGCCTGATCCTCCTTTGTACAAAAATCCAAGTTTGCCGCCGTCATTAAAAGCAGCTTTTCACCCTGCGTTTGATTCTGCTGTTCGAATCAACCATAAACATGGCAGACTTGTCATATGAGCTTGTTCATTTCAAATGAACCTCAATCCAGGTGACAGAAAATAGAAAATATAGGAATTACAATGGGGAACACCACCATACAATCAAACAATGGAGCCCCAGTGTCTTATCGTAAGTGCACTGCCTGGGACATTCTGTTGTACGGTTTATTTAAGAGATAGTTTAGAATTTAGTAGCCTTAATGAGTTACGCACTGTTCATGCACAACGGTCACATTTGTATTGTACTATCCCGTCACTTCCTGTCACCTGCAGCACTTTAAAGTTTGCAAACCCTTTTGAATTCTCTCTATTATTGCATAAATATGACCTTAAAATCATCAGATGATCATATAAGTTCTACGAGTTGATAAAAAGAATGAATTTAAATTGTTATGTGAACCTCCAGAATTAGCAGTTAATCTGAAGGTGAAATTAAAGTAATGTGTGTTCAGTTGATGGGAATACAATCAGGTGTGACTTTGCATCTTGTTCTATTTAAAGAACAGGAATCTATCAGGGTCTGATCTCAGCAACAGATGTTTGTCGATGCATACCATGGCACAAACAAAGGAGATTTCTGATGTTACGAAACGATCCCTCAAAGAGTTCGGCCTCCACCAATCCACAGCCAGACAGACAGTGTACAAACAGAGGAAATTCAAGACCATTGTTACCCTCCCCAGGAGTGGTTGACCAACAAAGATCACCCCAAGAGCACAGTGTGTAGCAGTCTGCAGAGTCACAAAGGACCTCAGGGGGACTTCCAAACAACTAAACGCTGGCTGATGTTTATGTTCATGGGTCCAGCATCAGGAAAACACTAAACAACGGTGCTCTGCACAGCAGGGCTGCAAGAAGAAAGCCACTGCAAAACATCATTGCTTCCAGGATAAAGATCCCATGAGCAA